AAGAAGAGTTAGCATTTGGACTAGAAGGATAGCAAATGTTGATAATAACAGAATTAGTAGCAATTTGGGTAGCAATTTTAACAATACCTAAGGAGAAGCAACTAGAGTTATATACAGATAGTAATGCTGCAATAAGAAACATTAATAGAAGCCTAGAATAAACAAACAGAAACAAGATTATTAAGAAAAAGAATGCAATATGGTTAATAAAGATTAAAGATCTTGTCAAGACAAAAAACATTTAGATAGATTTAGTTAAAGTTAAAAGTTATAATAAAGACAAATAGAACAATAAAGCAGATAGTTTAGCAAAAAAGAGAACAATAAATAGAGAAATAGTACAAACCAAAAAAGTTAGTTGTAAAGAAATAAAGTACTGCCTAGAGTAGAAAAACAAATAAACTTACATATCAGCAAAACTGCTTTGCAAATTAGTAATAAATATAAGACTAGAAGCAGAGTAGAAAGAAATGAGAGCAGTTAAAGATTTAGAGTCAGAAGCAGAAATCACAATTTATAATTGAACTTATTTTTAGAAAAGACTTAAGACAACCAAGAGAATACATTGCACAACAAGAAGAAGCAGTGCCAGAAGAAGTGCATTTATCAAATCACAATAGATAAACTTTCAACCTTAGAAGAACTCAACAGAAGAAGGCCAAATATATATACAACAATGGAATGCCAAATATGCCAAAATAAAGTAAAAAAGATGCAAGCATACTTGGCAGTATGCAAAGAGCAAAAATATCTCTAAAAGAGAATCCAAAAAGTAACTATTGCAACAACATAAAAGAAATTAAAAGAAGAAAAAAAGATTCAGATTCTCTTATACATTTTATATATAGCACTTTTTGGGAAAACAGAGACAGAGAGTGTGGCGATCTAGTGAAGTGGATAGGTTGTCAACCCCCAAGTGGCAGGTCTAGAGTTCAAATCTCAGTGATGACGAAAATTTGCAATTCTTTCTGTGTTATGGCTAACTGTCTTCCATGATTGGTTGGGATAGGATACCTGTAACCCATGTCATACCAGCCTGACTGGAAGGTCTAAGGCACTTATACAACATTGTACAAGAAAACACAAACCAGTACCAGGCGGTGTAAACCCAAGATAAGTTCTTAGGCCGTGTAAATCAAGGGAACCAGGTAGGAAGATGGAAGCCCACTTGGAAGACCCGAGTAGAGAGATAACCCGAACCTTCGATAGTGCTACTGTAAAGACTAGACTTATGAAACAGAGCTAGAACTTGTGAAACCGGGCAAATGTACTGGTCTTTGAGAAGGGACCGGATGAACCAACCAGGCCATCAGAATTTTCGGGTTCTGGAGAAAAAGGGTACATGCTGGCAAACATGTGAATTAGAGGTGTATGGTTCTGACCTACCTTTCCAGGCTATCTGGAATGGCAGCTTAGTGGAACTTGAATTGAATACCAAAGTAGTAAAGATATGTTGTGAAGTCAGTACCAGGGTTGAGGTGAACTCTACAAGAACATAGTGGTTTAATAATACACCCTGACTGCCAGTGTTGATTTTGGCCATAGCGATACCAGGTCAGCTATAAGAATGAAATACAGAAGATTCTGAAAGGTTTAGTACAAGGTCAAAGTTCCTCATATGAGTGAACCACTTTAAAGACTTAGTGACCATGGCATATTTGAACCAGTATCGATCGGGGCATCTTGGTAGGTGTAGGTAGGTGGGTGGATACAGGAACAGAATGGTTAAATAGGGAACCTACAAGTAGGTTCCAGGTATGATAGCTAATATAGAACCTTCAGGCAGACTACTTAAATTAGACAATGACTAAAGTTGTACGAGTGGCTAGTTGTACACTCTTTCTATGGTTGCCCCCTGTAGTTGTAATGCAACTATTAGCTGAATGTACTATCAATAAAATCCTGGGTCACAAGTACTCACCTAAATATTTAAAAAAAAAAAATTTATGATTTCTTAAAAACCAATATCACTTTTTTAAAATTTTGATTTTATCATATTGCAGTTCATTATAAAGAATGTTTAACAATAAAGCTAATCAATTATAGCAGTTTTAAAATTATGTGAAGTTTGAACATTAAAAAAAAAGTAATTGCTACTTTCTGATTTTTATTTATTTATTTTTTTTTAATTTTTAGACTAGAGAAAAAATTTGCACATTTTATTATTTGTAAAAATTTGATTGATAATTTTAATTCGCAACTTCTATTTCTGTAAATATGCATACTTTTGTTTCTATAAAATTTATAAAATAATAGATGCACAAATTTTATCTAATCTAAAAGTCAAAAAAAATATTAAAGAAATCAGGAATCAATAATTAAAAATTAATGATTACTTTTTTTTTTAATATAATTGTTATGGCTAGTTATAACATATGTAAAATGCATTGAGACGATTCGTTAGCATCTTTAGTAATGCTACAAATTATATTACATGAATACTAGTATAAAATTTTTACAAACCAACATAACTTAATAATAAACTTAACAATTAGATGTTTCATTATTTCTTTAAGTGCCATGGCAGAACTTTAAGTCATGCTCAAACTAATGCAATCCTTTTTTATCGTAATCTCCAATTTATGTCAATTGTTAATTAATGTGTTATTCTCAAATTAAAAAAATAATATACATTGTTTTGCATTGCACTAATATGATTACTATATTTCATTATATGATAATTTTTATTAATTAAAAAATTTATAATCTTTAATCTTTTAAAAATTACTATATATTACAAATGTATTTATATTTAAAAATATTGATAAAATTAATTTAACAAAACTTCACCAATTCAACACTAATTTTGCAAACAATCACTACTTCAGCTTTATTTCTCGAAAATCAAATTTTCTAAAATTATTTGTTGCATAAATTGTTAGTAACATATTTATCTTTTTCAACTCCAATACTATAAAAATAACAATATCCAACCTTATATGTTCTACTAGCATCCTATTCGTCTGTGTAATTTCACCAAATACCTATAATAATACTATATAGAGATGATATTGCACTGAGCAAGATGTTCACATCATAAAGGAAACATGACCAACCCCTCCTTCAGAATCAGCTAAGCCCTACTCAGAAAATCTCTTAGGGTCCAAATTACACACCCCCATCTTAAATCGTCCGTTGTCATCATTAATTATTTTCAATCATCATCAATCATTCTCATCGTCTCTTCTTCTCTTCCTCAAGATGGGATGCAATTTTTTCCCTATGCCCTATTAGCTTTTCACATAAGGAAGCTTTCAGTTAGTTAGAAAAGGAAGAATGTTCACAGTAGGCCATCCACCATACGTCAAGTCTGATTACTTGACTAGTGACTTTCACAAACTGTGGCCACGACGTGCTTCCAGTTCCTTTCCTAATTATCTTACTTACTCCAAACAATATATAAAAATACTAACCTTTTCACCATTTTTCCAATTAAGTTTCCGGGAGTGCACGCAAACTTCGTGTTTCTCTTTATATTTAGGAGAGAAGGGATAAAAATAAATAAACAAAAACAAAGCAAGAATAAAAAGTATAAGCATGTTAAAAAGGTGTAAAAAAAAAAAAAATGATAAAAGTAAAACAATTACTATTACGCGTAAAAGTCTAATTTTACATACAGAAGTTGGTTCGATTGGTCAAGTTTTGTAGATCTACACGTGAAAATTGATCAATCAAATTAGAGGAAAAAGCTCACATAAACTCGAACCATAATACATTTTACTTAACGTTAATACGTATAACGATAACTGATTACCACATTGCTAGTCCCGTGTAACCATTAGTCAAATCTAAAATCAAAAAAGTCCCTATACGTAGTATCGGTATGTTGAATTTTTCTTGCTTAATTTGATTGGTTGATCGACATAAATTAGTAAAATGTTTTTTAATAAATTAATAAAATAAATATTACTTTAAATTATTTATACAGCAACTATATTAATATTTTATATTTTATTAAATTTTAGCAGGCAAATTTGCCTGCTCTACAGATTAAAGGATAAATGATTTTACAATAATACTCGGTTATAAAATATCTGAGTATTATCATTAATTGTATATTAAATAATATACTTAGTATATAGATTCAATTTTTTTTTAATGATTTGCAATTTCACAAAATATTAAAACCACAAATTAAAAATTAAAAAAGCCGAAAAGAACAAATCTTCCATTATGATCCGTCACATCTAATATCTGTAAATTCTCTAATAATTCAAAAGGAATTTATTTAGAAAATTTTATTACAAGACCAAAAAACTTAAAGAAAATAAAAATCCGCGAAATATGTAAAGAATGCTCAATATAAATATGTATTATGAATATAGTACAAAACCACTTTCGTGATATCTGTAATTTCTACTTGCTGTTATAAGTTATCGTAAATAGAAGTTTTTCTTGTGTGTAATTGCACATTTAGAGTCCTCCCCAGCTTTTACTATACTATAACATATTTCGAAATCAAGATCGCGATAATTTTCTATACTCTTACGACAATCAATTGTACCAACGATCGTTGTACCTACAATAAAGAAAAAAAAGCGTTAATACCATACTCATAATTCAGTAACCAAATACTTTACAATATATACCCTTCTTAATATGAATTCCATGTTCGAGGAAAAATATCGTCTGCCTCCAATGTGTAACCCCACCTTGCGGCCCAGTTATAAAACTAGTAATGCCATCAACTTATCATTCACATTCTGATATAATGGCCGTCACGTGTAAACCAGGTATCAAAATAGGGCGTCCTTAAAATGTATCCGGAGTATAGGCTCTTAACTAGAGATGGGTTTAATGCGTGCGCATGATTGCGGAAACATGCGCATTTTATCCCATCAAGATTTCTCTCCTCTCGATCGTTTTTTCTTTTTTTTTGCCTTTTTTTTATCATGCGATATCATGCGCATTTTTCCCATCACTACTCTTAACCTATGACCAAAAATAAATAAATTAAATTTAAAAGTCATCACGTGCCAACTAACCCTAACCCTAAAAAACTAAAATTGAGACACAGGATAATAACCTCTACCCCGGGTATATTCATCAAAATAACCCAAGAATCCATAAACAGTACCATTACGTGATATTTCTAATGTGAACGGCGAAGTGAAATCCAATTGAGAGGAACTTCCTTGAAAATATTAAAAGTTGAGAAATGAAATATGAAAAAACATCACAATAAGAGCAATTATTTAATATAATAACGGACTTTAATTTAAACTGTATTGGAAATAAGTGCATCTAATGTTACATGATCTATAATAGCACTCGTATAAATTGGACGTTTTCATTGCTGTCATTTTAAATCCTGAATAAAATAATAAAAATATTAATTGATAGAAAAAAAGGTAAAGCACAATTTCATTATAGAAACGTAGTGCCATAAACATCATTCCAAAAATTAAAAGTATCGTTAAAAAGTTCATCTTCAATAGCAGCGAATAAAAGACGGCAATGACTAGGCGCAACTAAGTATAAGAATTTTCATCAGATATGATATCAAAACTATTCATAATGTATCCATATAGTTGATATGAAAAAAAGCTTACTAATTCCGTCCGGTGCAAGTAAGCGATCACGCGCAACAATCAAAGAGTCGAGCATACCTTCAAAAAAAAGGAAATAGCCCATCCATTCTGATATTATAATGTCAACTTTTTGTACAGGAAGAACAACGTCTTCTACTCTGCCGCTGAATAAGCTATCATTGATATCATTGATAAGTAAATTTTAATAGATTTTTACATAATTTGAAACCAAGGTGTATACAATGTACACACGTGATCACATTATCTAATTTATTTTCCTCTACAATATCCTTTGCTCTGTGGATAATGGCAGATTTGTCTACAGAAAGCACTAAAAAAATAGCATATATATATATATAGTGTGTTAGTAATACAATTCAAACATGTTTAATTAAAACAAGTTTAATTCAGAAAAAATTAATAATCTTTAGATGCACCAGCAAATATTGACAGAATACAAGTGCCTAGAGAATAATTCATTAATAAAAAAATATTATTAAGGATTAAAAATTAACATCTTGCTTACCACACCCAATATCCAACACAACCTTGTCCTTGAAAAGATCTTTATTTTCGTAGATAAAATC